AGACATTTGCAGTTATCAGAAAAGTGACAAGTTTATCAAACAAGTTGATATAGTACCACGTCAGATACTGCTGTACTGACAGAATAAACATGTTTCTGCCTCCTAGTGGCTGAAGTAATTTTTTTTATACCATCTATTAGCTTACGCCATAAAGTCAATGGAATACTTGAACATACTAGCAAATAATACTTTTAATATTTTGCAGACTAGGAAAATGACATAGAGCAGCTGGAACTGGTTAACATAATGAATGAAAGCTAAATTAATTTCTTTCTGATGACTGAATAGCTATTTAACTGATGACTAAGTATTGAACATTATTTAATTCCTAAGTGTTGAACATAATCCTCCACACTTAAAAAGTCCTGTTTTGGAATAAACAAATTTGGAATTTCAAAACAAACATTTAACTCACCCAAATCATACTAATTGATCAAAAGTCACAGTAAAGACATTTAAAATGTTACAAAAAAATTATATTTCATATAAATGCATCTTCTGAACATTATATTCATCAAATAATCCATAAAAATGCATCATGGTTTCCACAAAAAACGGTTTGCAATAACTGTTTTCAATATTATGATTTTTCTTGAGCACCAAATCAGCATATCAGAATGATTTCTAAAGGATCTTGTGACACTGAAGAATGGAGTAATGGCTGTTGAATATTCAACAGCCATGTTTGGGTGAGCATAAGAGACTTTTTTAAAACAATAAAAAACCTTACTGTCCCCAAATTTTCAACGGTAATGTATAATCAGTTTGTTTCATCAGTAAACAAATGACTATTGAAAGAATGTTTGCGAGTTCTGTGAACACAGTTTCTGACCTTGGGTGATGAAATCTTGACATACACCAGGATCGGGGCCAAGGAGGTCTTGCTGAGTTGGATAGGATGGTTAATGGTGTCGGCATCCAGAACTACAAGCTGTAGACTGCGTGCTAACTCAAAAATCCTCTCAACCTCTCCTTGGATTTGGGCTGTAGAGGCAGATTAAGAAATAAATTAGACTAGTCAACCTAAAATCCTTATATGACATCTTCAAAAATATTATTCTATCTAAGTACAAATCTGCTGAAGTGTAGCCAAAAGCACTTCAAATGTAATGGGAAGCATTTTATGTCCGATTCCTCTATTATACATATAAGTTTAAAACTTGCTCTTTGCCTCAAAGTGAGCAAAACTTTAATGATAAAAACAGGACGAGTTCAAAATCATCTCACACTGTAAAAAAAAAAAAAAAAAGTAAAAATATCAAAACATTATTTTGTTTCTTTTACTCCAATGAGAAATAGTTTTTCTTAAATATTATTATTATCTCACATAAATGATCTTTTTTAAAAAATGTTTATATGGTTTTTTTTTTCAGAAAAACAAGACAAAATTACAGATTAGGTAGCACAAAACTCACTTACATACACATTAAAATACTTTGGCTTGCATTTGTTTGACCAATAAAATTAAACGCATATTATGAAGGTCAATGGAGATGTTGTGGTTATGGTGTCTAACACAAGCCGAAGCTTTTAGAAGCAGTGATCTTTACTAAAAGTATCAGGGTTCTTTGACACTTATAGTGTTCTCTAAGAGGTAAAGCAGTTCTGATGACACCAACAGGAATGAGTTGGGGAGCATGGACAGGCTACTGCTGTTATACATACCCGCGACATCTGAGGTAAGAGAGCAATGCAAGGGACAGAGTGGAGAAAACCAATCAGATCCCCTTAACAAAGCTAGCTACACACCTCAGATCCACACTTGGTGAGAAAACACACCCACTAATGTTAAACACCTATTTAATCATTAAAATAAAAAAAAAATAAAAAATACAACTTTGAGTGTTGTGAGAATTACAATTTAAAAGCAGTGGGAGTTTCTCTGTAAGTGGGATCTTTGTTTTTTTGAACACACTGCAAAAATAGTTTTACTAATCAGTTTTTTTGTCTTGTTTTCAAACAATTATTAAGAAATCTATCGAACCAAATAAATTGACTTAAGTTTATTTATTAATGCAGTTTTCCTTCTAAAGTAAATGCATTAAAGAAAATTAAGACAAAAGTACCGATTAGGTTTTTTGTTGTTGTTGCAGTGCACCATCAAGCTCTATTATCCCAGTGTTAAGCAGTTAATTAAAAATCTGTAAAGTAAAGTATATGCACGTTTGGGTTCAATGACCAATAAATTCTTTCTAGACTCTCTCTGATTCTGAACCAAATTTATTGTTTAATATCTGAAGCCAATACATTTAGAATATATTATGTAATTTGTATGGAATGACATACAGATAGACAAACATTAAGAAATGGACAAGAAGTGATTACCTAAACTGGAGCGGGTGTTGGAGCGATCCATTATGGCGTGCTTGCTGGGGTTGTTGAGGATCGATCGCTTGGCAAGTGCAATATCTGCTGTCACCCGGGTGATAGTAATTCTAGCAATGGATTTACATATTAGCAAAGTCACAACACTCTGTTTGACTACACACATTTCTTCTTTTGTAATGAGACAACAGTCCGTGTGCCATACCTTCCTTCAAATCTGTGTTTTAAAAAATCAAAGAGAGCTTTTTGCATCATGTCTGTAACCTGTAAATTAAAATAAAAGGGAGAAAATATGCAACTCAGTAATAGTACTTCATAAACGTGTAGTTTCCATTATGTACAGGAGAGGGCAGTACATATTTGTACAGCATAAGTGTGGCATAAGAGAACATAAGAATATAATCCTCAGGTTCTGCAATAAGACACATTATAGACCATTTAAAATAAGAATGGTACTTTTTTTAAGTTTTATTTTAGGAGTAATATATTTTCATATGTCTTCTGAGCCACTGACTCCTTCAAAGCAGTTATGCTGAAGATCCTCAGAGAGTTTGGACCGTGAATGACTGAACATTGTACATACAGAGACAGCAGCAAATGGCCCTCACCTCATAGCCCTTGAGGGATGGCCCCATGAGCACCACAGGACGCATGGAAGGCACAACATCATATGCAGCCAGTTGCTCTCCCTGCAGTCAAAGAAAATGGGTGAAGACATGTTTAAAAATACAGGCAGTATATGAATATAAGCATAAATGTGCGTGGTGTGGTCATAATCACAGCATTACTGTATGTATTTGCTTACTGATTTCTTCTTCACTTGCTGAACTAAAGGATAAATTGAGAAAAATTACAAATTGAATTGCACACAGACACATAAAATAACATTATGTTCCACATACATACTTTTCATCCAGATAAGTGGATGATAACAAATTAAGGATAATAAATTATTAAAGGAAACTTGCGTGCTAATTTGGTTAAATTCAGTCATTTGTCTGATAAAAAAATAAAAAAATAAAATAATGAAACATGAAGTGTCAGTGCACCTGTTTGTGATGGAGCAGCTTTCTTTGCATTCATATCATCTTTGGCAGCAGTAGCCGCTTTACTGTAACAAGAGGGGAAAAAAGCAGTTCGTACATAATGAATTTTGCCGCAATTTATGCACATTTAAATGGTTGATTCATTCATGCAATAAGAAAACAAAGATTGCAAAATGAAGACCCCACACTGCATTATTAATCAGGTTTGTTTACTTGGCCAGCGCTTTGGCGGCCTTCCTGGCCTGCACCTCTCTTCTGATCAGAATCATCTCCAGGTTCACCGGGCTGGGGATAAAACCAACCTCTCCCCCTTCCTTTACAGGCCGTCCAATCCACCAGTCATTGTTACATTTCTGTAAACAACAAAAACAACACAATATTTTATATTTAAAAACCATCTTCATTGACTATATTGACATTAAAGAGATAGTTCACCCAAAAATGAAAATTCTGTCATTAATTACTTAATTACAAACCCGTAAGACCTTCATTCATCTTTGGGACACAAATTAAGATATTTTTGATGAAATCCGAGAGCTTTCTGACCCTGCATTGCAACTGCCACGTTCAAGGCCCAGAAAGGTAGTAAGGACATTGTTAAAATATTCCATTTGATATCAGTGGTTCAACCTTAATTTTATGAAGCTACGAGAATACTTTTTATGTGCAAAGAAAGGAGCCGCCGTTCTGATGTTTGGAACGACATGAGGGTAAGTAGTTAGTCAAAATTTTCATTTTTGGGTGAACTATCCCTTTAATTTGATTTACTTCAGTGAAATGATTGTGCAGGTGATCTGGGAACCCACTGACCTCTTTGATATGCAGGAAGTCTTTAGCTTCAAAAGAAACCCCGTGCCCTGGTATGGGGACGTTGTCATCATCTGCAGGAGTGTAGGTGAAATTTGTGCGCACGGCGAAAGCAACAGGCTTAAACTGAATAATCGCAACAAAAGGGAAAGATTGAAACCTCTACATTTTGATAACACAACACACTGAATGTGACACTTTTGCATCAGAATCCTTTGTGAGCACATGAACTGCTACAGTATGCATTTCAGTTCTGTAAACAAAATCTCCATGTGTAGTTCTACCATGTATGGTGAGAATATTTGTACATTTGTCCATGAGGTTGTGTATGAGTGAATAGCAGCAGACAGATACTTTGAGGAGAATGCGGGAACAAAACCACTGCTGATTTGAGCAACGGCACATGTGCTGCATTGCCCCAGGCAAGTTACTAATAATAACTTTCATTCATTTACCTTCAAACCAATTGCAATGCACACATTCATTCTCAAAGACCTCAATATCAGCCCAGTAAAGGGTAATGTAGTCTAATGGCAGCTACATGAGGCTCGAGGACAGTGCGGATTTATATACATAGGATGAGACCGAATGCACACAAGATCATTTTAATTCAATCTGCAAAGACCTAAAACTTGTCCTTCAAGTGCTGTAAAATTTGAAAGGATAATTTATATGGAGTGCAGCAGGGTAAGCTACATGTGATCAGAGTTGATTCATCCATATTTACATATATTTACAGTAACAGGACAAAAGGACAACTCTAGAGCAGCAACTGAGATTCTGTGATAAACAGTTGGTTTGTTTATAGTGATTGCCAACCAGGGTTGTGTGTAAAATATTTTGAGAACAATTTCGATTTGTTAAACCTATAAAACAAAAACTTCAAATTAAAATATTAAGAAATCTAGTAAACAGGTTACAGTAATCAAAATCTCATTTATTGATTGATTGATTGCCCTTGCAAAGATTCATAAAAAACCCTTATACTCACTTCTTCTGTAGATGAAGCTGGGTGACGAATGATTCGCGCGAACAAGACGCATTTAGGCAGATCGGGGATCGGCTCATTCCCTTCAAAAACGAAAGTAACGTTAATCATCTGCGTCAGCCTTGTCCATCAACTATCGTGGGAGCAGCCTGTGCAGAACTATGTAATTCTGACAAGGAATCTCAGAACAGCCTGAACTGAGAAAGGGGATTTTAAAATAGGGATTTAAAAAAAAAAACACTGGGTGGATTTTTATCATTATAGGGTGGATGTGTACACACACTTCCAACACACATTTATGTTCAAACAACTTGTAAAGTGAATTTTGCATCCGATGACCCCTTTAAGTTTTTACGTCTGGTATAAATGTAAAAAAAAAATGTGATTAAAGGATTACTTGAGTCGTACTAAGACAAAAAGTTTGGAAACATTAGCTTACTGTTGATTACAATGTATAACTTTTTTCTCTAAAAAGAAGTCTCCATATTTTACAGTAGTGTAATATTTTTGTTTCTAATTAATTATTGTACTATACTTTGGTATTTGATTTAAAAGAAGTCAAAGGGCAAATGTCAAATGTCAGCACCATGGAGGTCTTGCATAACACTGTATAATTTTTTAGTTTTTCAATACTAATCAATGGCAAAGTCCCTACCACAAAACAAAAATTGCATTTATAAAAATCCATAAAATAGTGTCTATAATGTTTTAACCCAGTGATGTGAAAATAAGTTATGATACTCAATCTTCTATATGACCTGCTAATGGATTTGACATTTAATAACACACTTACGGGTTAAAAAGGACAAAATAATCACAATCATGCTTTTTAGTTAGTCAGTTAGAAAATCTGGTATACATTATTTTTTTAATTGTCATTACCTAAGCCTTAAAAAAGTTAGGAAACATTAGCAATTCACATTGTAACTTTTTCCATCTTTAAAAAAACAATCATGCAAGTTTCCATATTATTTAAAAATACTGCCTGAGTCATAACACAATAATAAATAAATCATACAACGATAAGTAACTGCTTTGTTCTATTAATTTGTTGTATTATAATTTAGTATTTAATTAAAAGAAAGTCAAATGTCAACACAATGGCAGTCTAGCTGCTTGTAGCCTGGTTTTAAAAGGCGATGCTCTGTGGGAGATGGTGGACTGAAGCAGGACGTGATGCTGTCTGCTCAGTACCTTAATTAAAAAGGACCTCAGGGAGCTCGCTGACACAGACAGGAGGGTTTCATTCAGTTTTTAAAGCCGAGCAAAACTGGACTCTGTAAAGAGCCGATGATAAAACACAGAGCATTTGTTGTTGCTCATTAATGGTTTGCCACGGTGCTTCTTATCTGTTTTTGGACTGTGTAAAGGAACAGAAGAAATGGTAATTGTAGCTATCGTTTGTCAGTCGCGTGTAAAGCATTGATTTTGTAGAGTACAAGATTTAACACTGATGTGCTGTTTCAACCAAGGCATTTGGTAATTAGCTTTTTGACACAGCTACCTTGTTGCTTTGACAGAGGAAAAAGAGCCGTGCAAAATTTATGAGCACATCTAAAGCTGTGATATATTTAGGTCCTTGTGGCCAACGTCACTGGTAGCAGGTACGGGCAGCTGAGAGAATTATGGAGTTGCAATCTACCTTGGCCTTCTCCAGCTGGACTTGGGCATTCTTCTCCTTCTCCTCAGTGGCCCCTGAGTCCTGATGGTCCGCCGAACCCTTTTCAAACAAGAGTAAGAACCAGCATTAAAATAACACCCAGATTCATTCTCTTTCACAAGACATTTCTGTCCATTTTGACTCATTCTGACTCACAGTATGGCAACAAGCACTTGACTGTGCACATATCATCAAATATAACAGTGACAGTGTTGAGATGATTAACCTCAAACTGGTAATCCTAACCAGGTACAAAGATATCATCATTATGATATCATAAAATCATGCATTGATGTGTCGTTTTCAGCAGAGATCACTCCACTATATAATGACAGTGTCATCAAAGTCACAAATGAGCCCAAGCTTTCTCCTTCAGGGCTCCTTCATCAAATTTTATTAGCGACTCTTCACAAAGGGCAGTGTTCAAAGTCATGCAGAGAATTTCTCAGTAATGTCAGGCAATAAGAACTCAAAGTAAAACCATTTCGCTCTGTCAACTTGACCTTGTAAATTGATATGAGCATAACACTCCCTATCATTTTTCAACACTAATCTATGACAAAGTGCTACCACAAAACAAAGACTGCATTTAAAAAAAAAAATCCATAACACAATGTCCATAATATTTTTAACCCAGTGATGTGAAAAGCAGTTATGATATTAAATCTTATATATGACCTGCTGAAGGATTTGATATCAGATATTACACTGTATCATACATGGTAACTTAACAATCTTAGGATGAGAAATACAAGCTTCAGAATGTAAGCCCTTCCATTGCAAAGAACAACAACAACAAAAAAACTTTTGTTTTTATTTTTTCCTGGCCAAACAAAAGTTGTAGAAAATATTACGACTTAAAATAATTCTATTAAACATATTTATTTTGCTTACATCATAAACATGTTTTTTCTTGTTTTAACCAATAATTAATCAAATGTGGTGAGGTTCATTATTAACACATGAAAAAAAACAAAGATATAAAGTATACTTAAAGATATATACTCTGAAAACATATCTTAATATATATCACACAATTATGCTTCTCAAGTAAATTTATCTTAATATTAGATGGAAATATAGATATTTTACTAGAAAACTGTATATTGCTTTTTTTTTCAACAGTCAGTCTAACTAACCTCACTATATATGCATTTTAGTCATCAAATCACATTTTAGTAACTCTCATTTCTAAAATTCAGTCAGTTTCTAGTTTAAGATTCCCAATTTTCTATGTAAAACGGTTTCACAATGTCATGCAAAAGTCATGATGACTGAAATACACTTTCTCCCAAAGGCACACCTACACATGCTCACATGCACAATAACACACTGACAGGAATGGCACCGTGACAAGCCCCTCGAGAGACACTGGTGCACGGCACGCAGTCTGACAACCTCATTCTGACCTTAATATAAGGCTGATAACCTTGCTGACAAGACCAGCACTATTGGTCTCATGCATATGTTGTGTTTTGGATGGCGAACAATTTTTGGCTGGTAAACAGCACCAAACCAGCAAGAACCAGCCTGAACTTCATCAGGGAAAGAAGGACCAAATTAGTTTGCACATTAAATCATCACATCAAAGCAACATTGTGATTAAAGTTGTAAATGGTGTAAATGTTTCATGAAGTCTGTCAAGAATGTCAATGTGAGCTTGAATGTTATTATTAATATATATTGTCCTCACAAGTATTTATAATAAACAGGCTTAACGCAGTCCCCAGTGGATAAACTGACTCAAGGGCATGCAGCAAGCATAACATAGTTTGCGTTGAAAGAAATGAGGCTAATTAGCAGAGAAGGTGGTGAAACAAGATTGAGAAAAGGAATGACTAAAATGAGGAATTAGAGGAGACTAGGATAATTGGAGGGTGGGGAGCAGAGGGGGCTTTTCCCATAGGCACGGTCATGTAGAGGTGCTCGCTTTTGTTTACTCATGTCTGCCATAGACATCTGTTCACTCAGTGCCGCCTCTCCTGCAAGTCAATGTCATGGAGAGAGCAGTACAAAACGCTCCTGAATTATGAACAAATGCCACGCTCCCCAAGATGCTCTTCCAACCACACAGTTTAGTGGGGATTCGGATCATTTATATTCTTATATTCTCATCTTCTTAGATGTATTGAAGAGTGAGGCCTCTCCATAGTACTCAAAGGGAGTAGCTGATTTTTTTTTGAGTTAATGATCTGACCATCTCTTCCCACTGTTTCCTGTCCAGTCATTGTTCAAGGTATGGTGCGATTATGCAAAAATTCAACAAAGGCAACTACATATAAACAGAGCTGGTAGATTACTTTTTGTAATCCATTACTGATTTCAAAATACATGACAAAAATTGTAGTTATTAACGTAATCTATTACATTTAGGTAATATAATCAGACTTAATTACTTTTAGATTACTTTTGACCTATTGATTTAAATAGGATAAATCTTGTACCATATAAAACTGCCAAGAAAAAGAAAATATTTTCCATTTGTTGTTACTGACATGAAGTCAATTAATCATTATATTATGTCAAGGTTTCCCAAACTGGGATTCGTAAAGGAACTGAAGGGGATTTATGAGTTTAATGAAAAGCAAATGATTAATTCAATCATAAAAATGTAAAATTAAAATAAATCACTTTAAAATAACATCAATCAAAATAAAACACTTACTAATTTTTTTTTTAATATTTTATTGGTTTACCTGTCATGTGACCATTAACCAATGTCAGAGAACTGTGAACATGCAAATGTGATACTTTAAAACATTTGTTTTAAAATCTCAGGGGTACTTCAAGTAAATATATTAGGTGAAAGAGGTTCGGCTGACAAAAGTTTGGGAATCCCTGCATTACATGTAAATAAGAAATAATGTGAATTTGGGTATTTTCATGTATACAAAGTGATACATGATTAAATAACCCTCTGCATGTTCATCAGTAGTTGATGTAATGTTGAAATGCTAAGAAAACAATTCTTAAAATTGAAATAATTTTTGTAAATCCAGTGGTCAAATGATGTGTGGCCTCTCAAATTTCTGTGAAATTATATCCACCTGACTAGTGACTGGTCTTTTTGTGAAAGTCTGCAAAACTAGAAGACTTTCTGACTGTATATAAGCAGTGGGCTATTTTAGAAAGGAAAATTTAAGAGATGAAAAATAAGTATTATATTCATAATTATTATGAATAATTTATTGCTATTGAATAATATGTAATCATGTAATCAATAAAAAAGTAACTGTAGTCTGATTCAGAGTATTTTAAAATGCAATTTATTCTAATTAATTACAAGTTCTTAATTTTTGTAATCTGATTACGTAATCCAGATTACATGTAATCAGTTACTACCCAGCTCTGCAGATAAATCACATTTAGCACCTGTTTTTGTTTAAACCATGACACTGGACTTCAGTGTTCTTTCATCTTCATAGGTACGTTCCCGATGAGTCTGTGATTGGCTTACTATTGCAAACCCAATTAACAAACCACAAAGTGAGCGTCAGATATCAGATTTGAATCCCCTGGATGACAAACCTGACCTACACTGGTGTGAAAATGTATTTCATGTTATTCCTCTTTGGAGAACTAAATGGTTGCAAATAAACAAATCAAACCAAACAAAATGTAATATTGCAGAAAGGGAACCTTAGACACACTACATTATTTTAATGTCTAATTTTGCTGTTGCAGTGAAAAAAATAATTACCTAAACTTAAAAAAATAAAAAAGGTGATTGTGACTCACAATTCAGACCTTTTTCTTGAAATTCTGAGTTTATAATTTAGACATTTTTCCTCAGTTCTGAACTCTCAGAATCAACTCGCAACTCTCAGAAGAAAATTTGGAATTAATATATATATATATACATATATATATATATTTTTTTTTTTATATATA